GAAGTACACAAAGATACAAACACCTGTCACATGCCCGATTACCCTGGTAAAAGTCCCCCTATACGCTACACAGTTTTGTGGACTAGGAACCTCCATTTAAAGACGTTTGATAACTAAAGCTCAGGCTCCTCATGGCAGGTCACTCACTGTTTGCGAGCCGAGGGAAGTCGCTAAGCAACAGCCCAAGTAGCTGCCGTGAGGCTTAGTAGTTCAGTGCCCAGTTCTGAAGTGGCTGACATTGTGTGGCGCGCCACAGATGCAGCAATGCGGACAGAAGAGAGTGAGGAGACGAGCCAAACATGCTTTGTGTTTTAATGAGCGATCAGACATGCATTTGGGCGCTCTGTACCTCAGTGAGGGCCTATTGTCCGTCTTTAATGTAGTGGGGACATTGCATTCGTCCAGTCCTTTTGTGTCCACTGAGTGAAGTACACAAAGACACAAACACCTGTCACATGCCCGATTACCCTGGTAAAAGTCCCCCTATACACTACACAGTTTTGTGGACTAGGAACCTCCATTTAAAGACGTTTGCTACTTTTTGTCACTGAGATTCTGTATTGAAGTGTCATTGTGCAAAGCATCACAGGAACAGCTGTGAAACTCAATGGCCCTGCTGGGATTTAAACACACAAACAATGCACAAAATGTCTTTGGGTCCAAGCGGGGCACACCAGGAAGTCACCTTTAGTGGCGCACCGAGGACATGCAAACATTGAGCGGCTGTTTTGGTTTTGTGGACTAGGAACTTCTACTTTTTGTCACTGAGATTCTGTATTGAAGTTTAATTGTGCAAAGCATGACAGGAACAGCTGTGAAACTCAATGGCCCTGCTGGGATTTAAACACACAAACAATGCGCAAAATGTCTTTGGGTCCAAGCGGGGCACACCAGGAAGTCACCTTTAGTGGCGCACCGAGGACATGCAAACATTGAGCGGCTGTTTTGTTTTATGTCTGGCCAGCAATAAATGACTCCACATGTGCACGAACATCATCGGTTCATGTCCTTCGTTCTAAAGTACATGAGCTGGTCCATTTGGTAGATCATGTCAGCACCTCTGTGTTTTGTGTAAACATTCAGTATGTGATTTGATAGGTTATAAATGAATTACAGATTAAATAAGAACTCATGTATAAGGTATGTATGTGCATTTTTTGTAGGCCTATTCAGTAGACTGTGACAGCCTGCATGTCAGCAGAGAGTGTCACACTTTGGATCTGTTGTGTATGTATGAATTTGCAATAGTGCTGCCTCAGGTCTTTTCCTAGACTGTTCAATAAAGCTCTGCAGCACAGACAACAGCAAAAACAAACCAGTACTGAACGCTTTGTACAGCACACCACAAATGACTAGTCTGTTATCATTACTTCTGCTCCTCTTCTGTCACTCTTTGAACTGAAAACAGATTGCGCCAGAGGCTTCAAGCGAAAAGTCAGTTAACTAAAAGTATGCAGCGGTTTTTCATGTTTGTTAAATTTATACCATGTACATTTAGTTCAAAAGTTTGGGGTCAGTAAGGTTTTTTTTTTTTTAAAGAAGTCCCTTATGCTCACCCAGGCAGCATTTATGCCTCAGGTCTTTTCCTAGACTGTTCAATAAAGCTCTGCAGCACACAGACACACAACTGCAGCACAGACAACAGCAAAAACAAACCAGTACTGAACGCTTTGTACAGCACACCACAAATGACTAGTCTGTTATCATTACTTCTGCTCCTCTTCTGTCACTCTTTGAACTGAAAACAGATTGCGCCAGAGGCTTCAAGCGAAAAGTCAGTTAACTAAAAGTATGCAGCGGTTTTTCATGTTTGTTAAATTTATACCATGTACATTTAGTTCAAAAGTTTGGGGTCAGTAAGGTTTTTTTTTTTTTTAAAGAAGTCCCTTATGCTCACCCAGGCAGCATTTATTTGATTAAAAATACAGTAAAACATTAATATTGTAAAATAGTATTACAATTTAAAACAACTGTTTTCTATTTGAATATATTTCAAAATCTAGTTTATTCCTGTGATGATAAAGGTAAAAAGTTCAGTAGCCATTACTCCAGTCTTCAGTGTCACATTCATTCTAATATGCCGATTTGCTGAAACTTTTCTTATTGATTTTTGCTGCTTAATATTTTTGTGAAAGTCAACATACATTTTATAGGATTCTTTTTTTTTGTTTTTTTGGATGAATAGAAAGTTCAGTAGAACAGCATTTATTTGAAATATTTTGTAACATTATAAAAGTCACTGTCACTATTGATCAATGTAATGTGTCCTTGCTAAATAGAAGTATTCATTATGTTAAAACACAAAAAATAAATAAAATAAAATCTTAATAAAATAAAAACCGACCCCAAACTTTTGAACTGTAGTGAATTACCTTTTCAAATAAGTAAAATATGTTGTGTTTTTTTATTATTATTATTTTTTTAATTTACTGACTAATACTGAACAAAACCTCTCCATTTTGGGAGAAACAGAGGTACAGTGTGTTTAAGGTGTGCAAGCATTGTAAGGAGATGTTGTAGTACACTGTAAAAAAAAAAACAGCAGCTATGGTTGTCAGAATTTTACTGTAAAAAATACGGTAGCAATGTTTTAGGTTTTAACTTAAATTTACAGTTAAATACCATAATTTCATTAACTGATATAATGTTAATATATCAACCTATTGAAGTACTGAAATCTGTTTTGTACCTTTGTACACTAATAACCACCAAATGCAGGTGGTGATGAGAAAGTCACATGATGAACCAAAGCCCATCACAAGCAGCTTTTAAATAATAACATATTTAAAAGGTGCACAGTGTCATTCACACAAACAACAAACACCATCATGGTAACACACATGAAACTGAAATAATGCAATAAACATCCATTTAACAACATTAGGTGTAACACACAACCCTAATATACAAAACTGATTAGAAAAAAACAAAAAAATAGAAATTTCAACAAAAAAACATCAAATTTGAAATGTAACGCAGGGAATTCTGGGAATGTCAATTTACGGTTATTCACT